ATTATGGTAATAACAACCCATTATCTAAGCTTAGTACATGAGGTCTTTAAAAAAAAAAAGACTTACTTTTCAATACTACATTCATTGTATTTTTATTGTTATGAATACATCTAGTTATTGTTTAAGATGGTAAAGATGAAGTTTAATTTTGTTAATCAAAATTAAAAGTGAGAGAGAGTGAGTGGAGTAGGCCAACATTTGTGTTTTTCAAAATATTATTTAAAATGTATATAGATGCATCTTTTATATTTTTGGCTTTGAATTCCTATTTTTTCAAAAAGTTCCTATATCTTCATCAACAATAGTCACGTGATGCCCTGAATGTGGGATTCTAGCTTACCTGAAAATGTATTGTCAGTAGATACTTTCACACACCTTCTCATCTGTCCTCTCCATTTCCAGTGCACTTTCTTCTTGCCTCGTCTAAAAATGAATTTCTTTCAAGCACAAGTGCTTGGGGAAAGCTACTGAGCAAGGAGGTTCTGTTACCCTCCTATTGGTGGAGGGTTATTGCTACACAATGAAGTTATCATGCACTAGCACAGCTCACATTAAATACTCATTTTTTTTAGTGGGAAGTAGTTCTAGGCTAGTGACATGCAAATCTCATAGGCAGATACATTATGAAATTGAGCTATTCTGTGTGAATTGGTGAGTATCTATCAGAAATATATTTTCAGGTAAGGAAAATGTTAACTTCTTAATATCAATGCCCCCAGTAGTTTCTATGTGAAAGTGAAACAGGTAAGACAGCAGTAGACTGAGAATATCATAAGCCTCAGGCAGTTGAACTGACTCACTTTACTTTGCTAACAGTCCTGTAAAATATGGGGTCATACTGTAACTTTGTCAGATGTCCCATGTTGTGGATAAAGGCTTTATTGATCATTTTATATAAATGTAAATGGGTAAATAAATGTATATATATATAAAAAAAAAAAAATACATATGTATTTACACCTGTGGATATACCTAAAACAAAACACTAAAATTCTTGAACTTTTCTGTTTTTTCTCTATTATTTTCTTCCAGCACTTTTTGTTTTCATTTTTCTTCACTTCTCTCTTTCATTCTACATAAGTTATTCTAATATTTTATCAGTGTTTCAAAAACTTCTTTGCATTCTATCTTTTTATTAAATAAATTCCACATTTGCTTGTAAATTTCAGCATTTTGGAGAAGCTTCAGAGCTAAAAATTTAAGTAAGTTGTGGAAGAATGAAATTCAAGAGGATCTCCCATTAATACCTTTTAAATTTCATGAAACAATTAATGAAACTATTTCCAAACAAGAAAAACAAGTTAGAACAAGACTAAAATTGGAAAAGTTGAAGGTTAAAATTGATACTGAAATTGTGGAAATGAAAAGAAAATACTCACAGGAATTGAATCAGAAATGTCTTGGGCTTAGTTTTCATTGCCATCAAACTTTGGCAGCACAAACTGCCAACTCTTTTTTTTTGTTTTTCATTATTTTTTTTTAACTGCTGGCAAAACTTTTTTTGAAGTGCTGACAAGAGAGAAGGCATCTTGACATTACCCTGCACTATAGGTTCCACTGCCAAAGGCTCTGTTATATGGCTGTCATGTCTAAAGTACATCATTACTCCCTGCATACTCTCCATTAACTCTCTCTACATGGGCTCAGTCGAATTGACTGACCATATGACCACTTTGCATTTGTTACAGTTTCAATACAATTAACTGTTAATATAGCATGTATATCTTCACAAAATCTTGGCAGACTTTCAGTAACCATTACAAGTCTTTACATATAAAAAATCAGATTTTTTAGTGAAGTATTTTTCATAAAGATTTGTCTGTGAATATATCGAGAATTTTTTTTTTTGACTAGTATGAGTGCAAATGATTTTTCATGTTAAGATTAAAAGTACTTTTCTTCATCTCAAAAATTCCCAAATTTCATTTGGATAATCTTTAAAGCCTCCTAGGTACATTTCAAACATTTTTTTTTTTCTGTTATTTTCTCTACCCCAACTCTATACAAAATTGGTCAATTTTACTGACCTCATAACCATCAAGAAAATCAAAAATTGAAATAGATCTAAATTACCCTTTTTTCTTTCTAGAATGACTTGAAATTGTAACATCAAACTACATGTGTTTATCCTAAGTAGTTTTAAACTCTTAACAGTATACATCTATTTATACTTTGAACTGTGTTTAACTACCATTTGCACCATTATAAGTTGTAAATCATTTGGGGAATGTGCAGCTAAAGTTATGCTATCAAATTACATTACCCACAAGCTATTTCAAGCTGCTCACAAGAGTGACTCATGAAAATGTTTTATTATTATTATTTATTTTACCTAATCTAACCTTAACTAACTTAAAGAGTTTCCTATTTTTACATTTTAGATACTTTCATAATAATAAATAAAGAATACACAAGAAAAACAAGAAATCAAATACTTACCCAGGTCTTTTTTTTGCTGTTGACTAATGGTAGTAGTGTACTAAACAATTTTTATTTAACTAAATAATGCAACAAAGGACATAGAATAATATCATGCAAAAACCAGATAATGTTCCATAACCATCACAATTTTTCTGACTCTCTAACTATGTCAAGCTAGTCAATATGTTTCCTGTGGGACTGAAAGAGAAAATTGAAAATTCTTTGCACACAAAACAGCATAATATAATACATCATTTTATAGATGAAAACCTTGGCTTTCTATTGGTTATAAGTGATATAGTATTAAACAAAGAGAGAACTATTGACAAGTCCTGAAAGAGATGAAGTGGGTGTGGCAAAAGGGGGCTGTTTTTCTATTTGATGGCTCTGTAACCAAAGATTGCAGGCTATGAACATTATGCTTTGTTTGAGTGAAGACAATATTATAGTGAATAATTTATGTTAAATTTCCTACTTATTCAAGGGGTGGTGAACAAAATAGAAAAAGGGGATGCCTAGAGAAAAAATGCCACATTTCTCACACTAAAATGCTTGGTAAAGGATGGCCGTGGTAAGAGAGCTAATCACGTAATGTACAAAGATGATGGTTTTCTAGGGCCTGTTTCACTTTCTCAATCACACAGAAACTCTTAGATGCTGCGTTGCAACTTGACCAATATGAATATTCATGTTATTCTCTCACTACTTCAGTTATACAGTGGTTCAACTGATATTTCAAGGAAGCAACTTGTGTATGTGACTTGTGATGACATTCTTCTTGATTATCTTGTGTATTGCTGCTTGGGGCTTGTAGATGGCTTTTGCCACTGACCTTTATGTTCTTTAATTCTTGCCTGTTACACTATGCTTACCACGGTTGGAGTATGGCTTGTTGCATATCTGTTTCTAAATACTCCTGGTATCCCAAGTTAATCCATATTTCTTTCATTTTCAATGTCGTTCAGTACAAGGGACATCCTCATTTAAAAATTCTAAATTCATGATAACACACATTTATGATCTGAGTGCATGAATATTTTGTATCAGAAAGGGCTCCTACATACTCCTCCAAAAATGATCAGTTTACAGTGGCATCACACTACCTACAGAATGCCAAAGAATGTCAATATATAGTTCTGATATATGCCTTTCCACTGTGACTTTATATTGGTTGTGGTTGTCACGTGACTTGCATAGTCAAAATTGTTTTAATATAACTATTCAACCCTCTATATAAATGTAAGACATTGTAATATAACTTGTGCTAGAATACTGTTTTATTTCACGAGCTGAAATGTCAACCTTGTTTAAAAGGAAAACAGAGTAAAAATGCTGTGCCTACCTAGGACCCTGGATTGGGGATCTGAAATTGAATTTCAATATTTTGAGGATCTGAATTGAATCTTGACTGAGTTGAACAGAGTTATCTAAACATTTGCTTAACAACAAGTAAAAGCTTGGAATGGTGTATTCTTTCATTAGAGGTGTGTCTGAAATGAAAGAATAGACCATTCCAAGCTTTTACTTGTTAAACAAATGTTTAAACAACTCTGTTCAACTATGTATTAGCTGCCTAGTGTCAGCTCAAAATATGAAGAATTAAATTGTGGCGGAATGCTACAAGTTATTCAAATACCTATAGAATGATAGGTTTCTTTTTGTGAGTGTAAAACACTTAAAAACACCATGAATTCTGACTCTCAGTATTTGCACAATATCATTATAACATTTTGATAACTTAAGAGACAAAAAAAAGTAATTTGCCTTGTTGCTTTGTTGTAATGTGGCTAAGTTATTTTACCATCATGGACCACATTTCTGTTACTTGTGTAGTTTGACAGAATTTGTTTTACAACTTGACAGCACTTGCAGGGTCAACATAATAAGAAATACACGTGTGACTGATGCTGATCTTTTAATATCTATCATTCAGACCTGCCAAGAGAAATCTAAAATGTTGAAATAAAGAATGGTGCTATAAGGAACACTTTAAAGAAAAAAAAAGAAAACTGAGGATTATGAAGTAAAATTGGTGAAAAGACTATGGCTTTACAAATAAAAGGTGTTATTCTACATGAGGCTTGAAAGCATAATCAAAGACAAGGGCAGGGAAATATTTTTTCTGTAAAACTAACCTTTTCAATAAATGTATTTTACCTTATAGCCTAGCCAAATAAGAAAATAACGCATCTATGATAAATTTATCCTTTCACATGCAATACAGAGCAGAGACTCAAGAGACCCCAACTCCTAGAAAGGAAAAACTAATGAAATAAGTGAGGAGACAAGAAACCATTATAAATGAAGAATTTGTTATGGCTGCAAAATTGTGTAGGTAGAGTTGGACTAAATACAATTAAGTCACAATAGAAGGATATAATTTTAGCTAAGATATCACATACAGTTTCTGCCAAACTGGTTAAATGCTATTTGTTTTTCTACCATTGTAATACATACATATAAAAAAAAAGTACATTGTGAAAATAATACAATATTAACAAGTGCAAGATAGGCTTAACTTTGTTCTCAGTAATGAAGTTTTGTGATCTTTGGTAATATTTGTAGGAAATACTTTTTATTTATATATATATATTCATTATGCAGGAAGGAAATGCACTGTTTAAAGAAAAAAACCTAAGGGGAGCCATGGGAAAGTACCACAGGGCTCTTCTTTTCATCCAAGGTATACAAGTACAACAAAATGCTGCATCTCTGATGGGTCTTACAAGTACTGAGCAGCCTAAAGTAGATCAACTCCCTGAATCTGTCAAACAAGAAGTTACAAAAATTAAAATGGATTGTTATAACAACCTTGCAAGTAAGATATTACTGGTGTCATTTGGTATATGTATGTAAATTGTTTTTATGATTGTTAGTTGCAAAGAGCTCTGCAAAATTAGTTGCACAGACCTGTATAGGTTTAAATATTAAAAAAAAATTGCAATATCAATAATATAACATTAATAATTGTCTGGAGCATAACTGGGGCTTTAACCATATACATCTATCCAGAACAGATGGCCTTTGAGAACCCTTTACTGAGCACCAAAAATTTGCATTCAGAATGTCAGGGTTTACAGGGGATTGGATTGTTGCATAAGTATGCTTGTGATAGACTTTGAAGTGTAATGTACTGTATGAAAAACAGACGTGGTTGTTAGAGTAACCACGCTACTTTCAGTACTGCTTGAGTAAAGATCCATTTATTTAAGGTACAAATAATTTTAGCCATAATTGACAGTCACAACATTTAGTGTGAAAACAGCTTTGTGCACATGAGATTTTTAACTTAAAAATGTCAGTAATTACTTGATCATTAAATTTGTTATCAAATATTAAAGACCATATGGCTTAATCATTAAAAACTTTCATTTTGATACAGTGAGTTTTCCATGCTCTAGCCGCAATTATCTGTTATTTGTTCCTTTTATTATATTTTCTCACTTGCCTTCATGTACACATGTATACTGTATATGAATAAAAGAATCTGTTCAATCTGTAAAAATTTGTACTTAATTGGTATACCTATTTTATTTAAGGATTGAGAAGGTATATGTAGTACTTATTATTATCTTATAGACTGCTTGTTGCAGCAAGAAAAAAAAATGGAACGAGTTATTTTTTATTGTGATAAAGTTTTGGAGGTTGAACCCACCAATGTGAAGGCCTTGTACAGGAAAGGAAAAGCTCTGTACAATATCAAGGACTATGATACAGCACTACAAGTATTACAAAAAGCTCAGGAGGTGGATAATGGAAATGGTAACAATTACTTTATATATATATTTAAAGTATATGTGTGGTTCAACAGTTGCAATAAAAATCACCTAAAGTGCAGATTTTTTCCTATCCTAACTTCCCCCCCCTCAAATTCATTTGTTAAAACAGTATTTCAAATCTATCTTTTGTATTCCACAAGTCACCAGAATTCACTAGTTGGGCTGGAGAGAAAAAATTATTCTGAAACATTATTTATATATATATGTAAAATATGACTTCAAAAGTTAGTCCAAGCATTGAAAGTTGATGAAGCATTGAACTATGCACCTGTGCTTGGACATTATAATGGTATAACTCGTATGTATTTGTGCATTGTACTAGTTGGTACTATTAGGGCTATACTGATGGATTTAACACGCTTCTATTAGCTTTCCCAGTTTGTCAAACACCATATTAAACTTATATATTATATTTACAAATGGCTTGCAATTTATATAATGCTCAAGATTGATAAATAATAAAAGTATATGAAAAGATAGTATAGCATGTTCAGTTCTCTAAACTACCTGTATCTCTATTGAAACATATCTCTGTATTCTAGGGTTTATTTATCGGCTACTAATTAAAGAATCTATCAAAATATGTAGATAATGTTGGGATAAATATTGCTTTGTGAAGATTATCTGCACACAATATTCAGTGTTTCTGTTAATCAGTAACTACCAGTCCGAAACTGTTTCAAAAGCTTGTTGACCAGCAGAAGTGAAAGCTGCTTGTCAGTCTAACTGGCTGCAAAATTTCTGTTAGGAAGAGCTATATTAACCGTTTCGCATCAGGTAGATAAGATTTACATTCACAATTTAATTAAACTACTTTATATGGTATATGAATAAACTTGGCATCAAAACATAGCTAATAAATCCAATTTTAATATTGTATAAGATTTAGCTTCTTAATATTATAAGGAAATATCTAAAAAATCCTCAATTATTTGGTTCCAGAGCCATAAATTAGAAAATCAGACCCCCTCTTGCCACCCCCAGCTGTCATATCCTTTTTTTTTTACAAATTGCCAATAGTTCTCTCTAATGTTTAGTACTATATTATTTATTATCAAATGATGTATTACATTGCATTGTTTTTTTGTACAGAGAATTATCTATTTCATTTCCAGTTCAAACTTTATTCCCATGGGAAACACATTAAGGGGCTTAGCTGAATTTTCAGTGATTCTTATTGCATAGTTAGAAGGCCAGAGATATTATGATAGTTATAGGACATTGTCTGACTTTTATGTTTTATTATTCTGTGTTCTTAAGTGCAGTATTTATTTAAATAAGATTTATTTAGTGTGATAGTACTAATGGTATAAAAAAAAAGTAGGCTTAAGTTTCATAGACAGTCAACAGCAAAGTCAATTAAAACCCAGATAAGTTTTTTTTTTGTGTATTCTTTATTTACTATTATACAAGTAACTAAAATGTAAAAATTAGACACTTGTTTGTTTAGATTAGGTAAAAATGAATAATAAAAATTCTTTATGAGGTATGCGCGTGAGAAGCTTGTGTATTAATTTGATGAGCTGCACGTTTGTCAATTGATTTATACTTGTGTGGCAGGATTATTAGTTAGACAGGGTTCAAAAGACAATAACACAGTAAAATTAAGTATAAATATATGTATACTGTTACAAGCTTTAAGCTATTTAGTATAAACAATTATGGTTTCCTGTTACAATTTGCAGTCATTCCAGAAACAAGAAAGGGAAATATAGAATTATTTCTTAATTTTGTTATGGTGGTTATGAGGCTGGTCAAATTGACTAACCCTGTATAGAGTGTAGAGAATAACAGATAAAATATAATGTTTTTCTTTAAAAAAAACATTTTATATTTATTTAGGAGGTTTCAGGGATTTAAGGAAATAAAATTTGAAACTTTTCAGATGAAAAAAAGTATTTTTAATCTTAACATGAAAATTACTTTGCATTCATGGCAGTCAACACTCTTAACACCATTTAATTATTGAAAAAATTTTAGTCAAAATACTTAAGTTAAAAATTCTGATTTTATTTTTTTTTGTGTACAAAAGACTTAATGTTTATTGGAATCTTGCCAAATTTAATGAAGATACATTAAGTACCTTCAAAGCCATAGTACCTATGCCACCATGATAATGCTGATGCTGTTTCTTTGCAAAACAGTTATTCTTTGGGAGGAGAAAAATTCTAAAAACATTGACAAGCATGTTGTTTACTGTAAAACTCTTCAAAGATTTGTAATACTTTTCTTTATGAATTACACTAAATAAATGTTAGAATATGACAGAATATTGGTTCTAAAATATGTTTTGGTTGAAATTATTAAATAGAGCTAAAATTAACAAATGAAATTTACATAAAAATTAGTGATGAAAAAATTAATTTATTGAGAAAATATGAAAAGCCAAAGGAAATCGATTTTCAGGTACAATAAGTTATGAGTAAGTTACTTTGTTAATCTCAAGTAATGCAAAACCTGTAATAATTTAAATAAATACTATTAACTGAATGTGCCTGGGGTTGGCCCTAAATGCATATCTAAAGTGTTTTTCAGTATCCTTGTATATTGTAATTGGTATTTTCTGTACTCTAACATGAACTGTTGCAAAATTAGCAGTGTACGGTAACATTAAAAGTGATAATATCAAATTCATAATATCATGTTGAATGACACTGTACAAGATCACGGCATGCACATTTTGACTCCCACCTGTGCATATAGGGTTAAAAGTGTTCTGTGGGATTTTTCCTACAAATTTACACAAGACAACAGTACTAAATATATATATATTACTTTGGGACAATTTTGAACAACAAATATTTATTTAAATTAAAACTTTATTACACTGGAAAGCCTCAGAAATAAAAGATTTAAGTATCTATAGAGTATTTATTTAAAACATTTATCAAATATATAAAAAATTAATTGTAAAACATTTCTAGCAAATAAATATGCAAATTTTTTTGTAACAATAATTGACTTACCCATAATTTAGATTAATTGATTATTTTACATGACACTAATCGATGTAATCGTTGTTAATACTCAATGGATTATATTGATTTAATTGCCAAGCACTATTCTGGACATTCTATTCTATTGAATTTAGTTCAAACTAAAAATCACTTTATTCTTTTAAACTTATTTGGATAAAGCATGCCCAAAACAATTGACATTACAGCCAACTTTAACTGAAAATGTCATTACAGCTGATGTTTTATGGAGACTAAACGTGATTTCAGTAGCTACTCTTTTGCATAATTGTTCAAATCAATGTTTTTTTGGACCTGACTGACAGCCACAATATTAGTTGAATTAAAGCAGCTTATTTCATAGTTGATGTTACTGACCTTCTATAAACAAATTGTCGGAGAAATAATTAAAACATGTTTATGGATACACAGTAATGAACGATTACACAGATGAGAAAATGACTGGACATTGTTATTTGCTTTTGGTCTGAAAGTGATGAAAGAGTTGCTGTTAGATTCCTTAAAAAAAAGAATTGTTTGGTAAACAGACTTTGACAGGATATTGCACAACTACAGTATTGGTTAAGAATTATGCAGACAGTAAATAAAATATGTATAAAATTGAAATATTATAAAGTATGAAGATGAACTGCACCAGAGTACAGTCTTGTGTTGATAATATATACTGTGGTCCAAACAATCACAGTGCTACACAAGCATATTGCCTATGAAAATACAGGCAGCCATACTTTTCCCAACAGTTGTGTGGTGAATACACTCATGGCTTTCAAGACAAAAATGCTACATTTTAGGTGAGTAGAGAGCATAGCATTGGCTACTTTTAGTGACGAACTGAAACAAAATTTAATGTTTTAGTAGGAACTCTGTGGAAACTCTAAAGAGGGTTCTTGCAACTAGTACTGTTGATAACAGAAGTAGGGGTAACCAGCTCAATGTCTTCAAAAGTGAGGTTAAGTAACTTGGGGTATACTCTTTATGTGACACACAACAATGTATATCGAATGTGAGCATAATTTGCCAAGAAGAGTGAAGGAAATGGCTAAAGTTTTAGGTTTATTACTCTTCATTCATTATAAGTTGCATGTTGCACCTAGTGCTTGTAGGGTTACACTGGACAGCAAGAAAAGGAACTATTATTCTTTGGCTTTAATAGCTTCAAGTATTCCCCATATTAAAGAGTTAATTTCACAGAGCTGTAGGAAGACTTTAATATTATTAATCAAAGTTTGTTCTTGAGATGTGAATTTCCATTGGCAAGTTCTTCATAAATTGGAATGACTAAACTTCTGCCAAATGAAGCAAAAAAGGACAAGACAGAAAAGCGTCTTGAGAACAATCAACATTATAACATAATCTGGAAAAGTCGGATTACTAAAAGAAAGTGACTGGACTTCTCTTCATACAGTCAGTTGGACTAGTTCTTAGTAGCTTGTTAAAAATGGTATAAAGGCAAAAGTTTCTTGTACAATATGTTTAGATGAAATTCCGGACTTGAGAAATTATAGAGATTCACATTCTTGAATGTTGAGTTTATATGTGTGTGGGATTCATGTAAATTGATCCAATTGATAACCAAAGGATTCCAGAAAAGAATAGTTTGACAAATGTTATATATATAATAATAAAAGAGCATATCTGTGTGTGTGTGTGAGACCACCATAACTACAAGTAGAAAGAATCTAGAAACCTGAAATTTTGAACCCATACTAAATAGACCCTGAGGGTGTGTACCTGGGTATTACTTATTCACGTGTATGCACATCTTTTTAACGAGGCAAGCTAGCAAAAAACCACATATGGAAGAAGTGGTTTCTTATATTACAAATAGAAGTCACATAGAGACAGACAGACATGTGCACCCGGGTATTATTACTTATCCATGTTCATGCATGCATGCACATCTTTTTAATGAGGCAAGCTAGATAAAAAAACAACATAGAAAAGAAGTGATTCTTTATATTATAAATAGAAATCACAGACAGCCAGACAGACTTGCACATGTGTGCAT